ATTACAAAGTCTAAGGATTAAAATTACGTATGATTTCACTTAAAAAAAAAAATCCGGCAACACATTCCAGGATGTGGATAATTCAAAAACATTTTTTAAAATAAGTTTTAGGCCGAGTGTGGTAGTTCACATCTGTAATTCCAGGAGATGTCAGCCTTTTCAAAGAAAATCAGAATCAGATTTTTTCTTATTATTTTAATTTTTATTTATTTGTAATTTTTGTGGGTATATAGTAGGTGTATATATTTATGGGGTACATGAGATGTTTTGATACAGGCATGCATGTAATTGCAATGTGAAATAAGCACATCATAGAGATTATCCATCCTCAAGCATTCATCCTTCGAGTTACAAACAATCCAATTATTACACTCTTTATTTTAAAATATATAGTTATTATTGACTATAGTCACCCTGTTGTGCTATCAAATAGTAGGTCTTATTCTTTCTATTTATATTTTATTGTACTGCCTATGTACTGAAAAGTTGTTGTAGTTATTATTTTTTATTGGTTCATCGTTTACTACTTAGGATGAGAGTAGTTTATACACCACAGTTACAGTGTTTTAATATTCTGTGTTTTTCTGTGTACTTACTATTACCCGTGAGTTTTATACCCTCAGATGATGACTTACTACTCATTAATGTCTTTTCTTCCTGGTTGAAGCACTCCCTTTAGCCTTTTTTGTAGGACAGGTCTGGTGTTGATGAAATCCCTCAGCTTTTGTTTGTCTGTGAAACTTTTTATTTCTCCTTCATGTTTGAAGGATATTCTCACTGGGTATGCTATTCTAGGGTAAAGTTTTTCCTTTCAGCACTTTAAATATATCAGCCCACTCTCTCCTGACTTGTAAGGTTTCCACTGAAGGGGTTGCTGCCAGACATATTAGAGCTCTGTTGTTTGTTATTTGTTTCTTTTCTCTTGCTGCTTTTAGGATCCTTTCTTTATCCTTGACCTTTAAGAGTCTGATTATTAAATGCCTTGAGGTCGTCTTCTTTGGGTTAAATCTGCTTAGTATTCTATAACCTTCTTGTACTTGGGTATTGATATCTTTCTCTAGGTTTGAGAACTATTTTTTTTCTTTTCTTTTTTTTTTTTTTCTTTTTTTTGACAGAGGGTTGCTCTATAGCTCAGGCTGGAGAGCAGTGGCGTAATCTCAGCTCACTGCAACCTCAGCCTCACAGGTTCAAACAATTCTCCTGCCTCAGCCTCCCAAGTAGCTGGTATTACAGGTGTGCACCACCACACCCAGCTAATTTTTGTAGAGGTGGTGTTTAACCATGTTTGCCAGGCTGTTCCTAAACTCCTGACATCAAGTGATCCACCCATGAGCCACCACTCCCAGCCCCGTTGAATAAACGTTCTACCCCTCTCTCTTTCTCTACATCCTCTTTAAAGCCAATAACTCTCAGATTTGCCATTTTGAGGCTGTTTTCTAGATCCTGTAGGTATGTTTCATTGTTTGTTTTCTTTTGTCTCCTCTGATTGTACATTTTCAAATAGCCTTTCTTCAAGCTCACTAATTCTTCTGCCAGATTCATTCTGTTATTAAAGGACTGATGCATTCTTCAGTATGCCAATTGCATTTTTCCAGTTCCAGAATTTCTGCTTGACACTTTTCAATCATTTCTATCTCTTTGTTACATTTATCTGATAGAATTCTGAATTCCTTCTGTGTTTGCTTGAATTTATTTGAGTTTTCTCAACACAGCTATTTGGAATTCTCTGTCTGAAAAGTCACATATCTCTGTTTTTCCAGGACTCGTCCTTAGTGCCTTATTTAGTTCATTTGGTGAGGTCATGTTTTCCTGGAACCTATTGATACTAGTAGATGTTCTTCAGTGTCTGGGCATTGAAGGGTTAGGTATTTATTGTAGTCTTTACTGTCTGGGCTTCTTTGTACTCATCCTTTTTGGGAAGGCTTTCCAGATATTTGAAAAGACTTCAGTGTTGTGATCTGAGCAGTTTCTACTTTAGGGGACATCCCAAGCCCAGTAATGCTGTGGTTCCTGCAGACTCATAGAGGTACCGCCTTGATGGTTTTGGACAGGATCTGGGAGAATTCTCTGGATCACCAGGCAGAGCCTCTTGTTCTTTTCCCTTATTTTCTCCTAAACGAACAGAGTGTCTCTGTTCTGAGCCACCCAGAGCTGGGGTGGAGTGACACAAGCACCCCTGTGGCCACCACCACTATGACTGCACTGGGTCAGACCCGAAGCCAGCACAGCTCTGGGTCTCACCCAAGGTCTGCTGCAAATACTCCTGGCTACTGCCTAGCTTGCTCAAGGCTCTGGAGCTCTACAATCAGCCAGTGGCAAAACCAACCAGGCCTGTGTTCTTTCCTTCAGGGTGGCAAGGTCCCCCAAGCCCGAGGTGGGTCCAGAAGTGACATCTGGGACTCAGGACCTAGAGTCAAAAACCTTAGAAGTCTACCTGGTGTTCTATTATATTATGGCTGAGCTGACACTCATACCACAAAATGCAGTCCTTCCCACTCTTCCCTTCCCTTTCTAAAGGCAGAGGAGCCTTACCCCGTAACCAGTCATCCTAGGCCAGGAAGAGTATTGTTTACTGTGGACTACCATAGATGTTCCCTTAAGACTCAGGGGCTCTTAAGTCACTTTGCGATGAATGGTGCCTGGTCTGAGACTCACCCTTGAGAGCAGTGAGCTCCCCTCTGGCCTAGGGCAGTTCCAGAAGTGTTATCCAAGAGTCAAGTCCTGGAATCAGGGATTCCAAGAGCCCACTTGGTGCTCTACCCTTCTGTGGCTGTGCTGGTACCTGAAGCCAGCAAGTCTCAGAGGCTCACCCAAGGCCCTCAACATAGTACCTGGGTATTGCTGCTAGTTATTCAGTGCCCAAGAGCTCTTCAGTTAACAGTTGATGAATTCTGCCAGGGCTGAGTCCTTTCCTTCAAGGCAGTCGGTTCCCTTCTGGCCTAGGGTATGTCTAGAAATGTGGTCCAGGAGCTAGAGCCTGAAACAGGAACCTCGTAACTCTAACCGGTGCCCTAGCCTGCTGTGGCTGAGCTAGTATCCAAGATGTAAGACAAAGTCCTCCCCACTCTTCCCTCTCTTCTCAAGTGGAAGGAAGGGGTCTCTTTTGGAGCTGTGAGCTGTCCAGCCTGGGGTTAGGGGAGGGGCAATGCCACCACTCCCTTGGCTGCCCCAGCTGGTGTCTCAGTATGTCGTGTGGCCCCCCAAGTCCACACTCTGTTGGCCCAGTTCAGCACTAAGGCTTGCCTAAGAGTTGCAGCCCTTATGGCCTAGACCAGGTGTTTCCAATCTTTTGGCTTCCCTGGGCCACACTGAAAGAATAATTGTCTTGAGCCACACATAAAATACACTAACATTAACAATAGCTGATGAGCTAAAAAAAAAAAAAAAAAAAAAAAAAAAAATTGCAAAAAAAATCTCATAATGTTTTAAGAAAGTTTACGAATTTGTGTCGGGCTGCATTCAAAACCGTCCTAGGCCGTGTGCGGCCTGCAGGCCGCGGGTTAGAAAAGCTTGGCCTAGACTGCCTTTCAGGTTTACTTGGAGATCCAGAGCACTGTAGCCCTTGATGGAGAGGTTTGTGGGAACTCGTGCTCGGGCTGCCGGGATGGGTGATTCCTCTCTGACTGGGGCTAGTTTAAATCTTCCTTCCAATGGGCAGGTGTCAGGTGAGTTTGGTCCAGTTTTCCTTTCTGCTCTAACAGGACAGCACTAAATTCAATGCCTCACGATTGCTGTGTTCTTCCTCCCCCAGTGCCCAGAGATGCTCTTGGCACCACCATGCCATTGCTGCCGGGGGTGGGGGAGGGGTGGCATTGGCGATTCAGGACTGTTTTTTCTGTCTCTTCAGTGCCTCTTTCAGTGATATGAAGTTAAAACCAGTTACTATGAGTGCTCACGTGATTTTTGTTTTTTATGAAGGTGTTTTTTCTGTGTAGATAGTTGTTAAATTTGTGTCCTTGCTGGGGGGACAATCGGTGGAGGCTTCTATTCTGCCATCTTGCTCCCTATCCCAGAATCAGATATTTAGAGACCTGAGGCAGGACTAGTACTAAGCAAAATAAAAAAGGAGTGATTAATCTGTGTCACCCAACTGCCTCTTTTATACCCTTTTCAGCTCTTCTTTTCTTTTAGAATCTCCAGTTTTTTCCAAATACCTAGCTTGTCCTTTTTTTTCCCCCGCTTCTTCCTGAGTGTAGCTTCCGGAAGGTGTGGGGGCTTGTGCTTATTTCTAAAGATGCCTTGACATGAGTATAGTTTTATCCACTGATAGAGCATCCCACCTGTAGACTCTTCCATTCTAGATGTTAGGAGAGATATTTTAGAGCAAGTTGTACTTGTCTCCCATTCTTTAAATTATGCCATGTAAGTGCTCTCTGCCTGAGTACGTGTAAGTACGTGCCTGACTACAGAGTCAAGTCTGATTGCTTCCTGCTGCTACAATAATCTAGGTTCCTCACTTCTGTGGTGTCTCCTGTGAACTTCCATCACCACTTTCTTACTTTTGTCACTTCCTTTTTCTTTGTTACTTTTTGATAATATACATGTAACTAATTGTCTATTACTTACATTTAATCAGATAGACATTTAATGGTCTATCACTTTACATTTAATTACTGATTTACATTTATTTATTCAGCAACTTAATGACTCTATTGCTCTATATTTCTGTGACACTGAAATAACATTTAGTAAAATCATTTATTTAGATGATATCCCCCCTGAGCTATTGCAGTGTGAAAGTATTTTGCCTTTGTGTAAATAAAGTTACCATAAATCTAACAGGAATTTTTCTTTCTTATTCCAGCAAACCCTAAGATGTCGGTATTGATTGACCTTTGTTACAGTTTAACAAATTTATTATTATTATTGTATTATCATGTTTTAGGGATACTAGTTTTTAGGTATTCTGAAATATGAGATAGGATATAGATTATTCACTTGAGACATTATTATTTGGTTTTTGCCATTTTATTGATTTTTTAATGTATTTTCTAATATAGATGACATTATAATCTATAAAGAGTTAGAAGGGACAAATGCTGAAAAAGAAGAAAAGAGTAGAAGACAGAACCATAGTAAAAAGGAATCGTCTTCAAGACAGCAATCAAATACTCATGGATATTGCCATCAGAGAGGTAAAGTATAATGAAAATAGTCACACATGGTAAAAAGAGTCTGAAATATTTGTGAATAACTAGGTAAGTAAAATCAAGAATTCACAATATTGTTCTAAAGTTGCATTATATTGCTTGTTTTATTTTTTCTGGGCATGGACTTATACAGGGTTGGTAAGAATTTATGCCATGTCATATGAATACAAATTTATTTTAATTTATAAGAATTATTTCCCTAATGGAGAGTGGGATAAGAAAAGTAACCATATGAGCTGAGAGATATTTTGTACTTGTTTACAAGCCTGGGTTGGTTGGTCGAGTTCTGCTTTTAGGAGGCAATAAAGGAGGGTTAAGAGCGTAGTCAATAATCTGAACACTATGGCATCCACATTTTGAAAATACAAATGTTGTAAGACAAAAAGAGTAGGGTAGAAATGACAAATGTCCTCTGTATACCTAACCTCATTGGTAAGTGCAGTGTGCATTTTTTAATATGAATGTGCTACAGATTGCCACGATACAGAAGTCTTTTCAACAATTAAAGGTCTTCATAATCTAGTCAACAGATTGGAACCATTTTGACATCGTGATTACTATAAGCCCCAACAGTTGCCTATGCAGCTTCATTTCAGTTCTTGTGTGAATCTTCAGTGGCTCAACATGTTCTGAGAAGAGAAGAGAAATGATGGTAGTTATTACAGGGGCAGAGCAGCCAAAAAGGGTAACATGGCCCATTCTTATGTGCCTAACCAGTCATCACAAAATTGATCTTTGTGAGCCTTTTGGAGTTATTCTTTGATGGGTTTTCTACTGTCTTTGTTTGTTTACCCAAACAAAGCAGACAATTGAGACAAATATTCACATGATTAATACAAAGCAGACAGTTTCTCTCCATCTCTCCTTTTTCTACTAGAGTATTCTTTCATTTAATTTCAGATAGTATGTCCCAACTTTGGTGGCATATGAAACCAAAATTGAGGTATTATATACTGAGAAGACTACCCTATTAAGGTATGCAAATTGAAATAGTATGGCAAAGACTGTTCTAGAATTCAGTGAGACTCCCAGATGATACCAGAGTAATGAAATATCAAAAGTTTTGCAAAACCCAGTGCATAGCTTTAAAAAAAATGAGATCAGAGATAATACTTCTCTGAGAGATACGTTGAATTTACTACTTGAAAATACAGAAAATATTTTTTTTTCAAAGGCTACTCAAGATTCAGAAGCAACTCTGAGGAAAGAAATCACGATAAAAAAACATCCCAAGAACCTTCTGGATTCAAGTCTGGACAACACCCTTTAAATGAGCAGCCTTTAATTGAACAGGTAGATAACTACCAAGAATTAACCAATATTAAAAATCCTACATTTAATATATTTCCTAATATTAATGATTTACTTTAAATTCTATTGAAAGCAGGGATTGTTTCTTGGTATTCCTCCATGGTGCCTTGAAAGTACTTTAAATTCAATGTTTGTTAGTTGATTTTTCCCCTGTAATTATTTTAAAAAACATTTGATTTTTGCTGTTTTCAGTCATTACTAAAACTTTTGAATTTATGAAATGCCAAAACAGATTATTAGTTATTGTCATTAATCCTATGTAATCATTTTTATTTGTCCTCATACAGAGGCTTTGAGCTTAAGTTATAATATAAAAAGAGTTTTAGTATCTTTGTGAATGAACTGTAAAAGTCAGAAGTCAGATGATATCAGATATGAAATATACTCTAGAAGCAACAGGTGGCACAGACTATACCTGTACGAATCCATTTCCTCTAACCACGCATAGGTGAGCCAATCAATAGAGAGGAATTTGAGAGGTGCTCAGATCCAGATTCACTAGCTAACATTGGTGCTAATGTTTCATCCTAGCTTATAAACTGATTCTTCTTAAGGTGTTACGTGGTCATTTAGCAAAAATGGCAGTTCCGGGAGCTTAAATCATTTTTGCCAAATCATGTAAAAGCAAATGTTTATTTATTTGCTTATCTGTTTATTTTGGAGAAAAACATATTGCATTTTCAAATATTTAAAGGATTATTTTAAATTGTTCAAATGGACCGGGCGCAGTGCCTCATGCCTGTAATCCCAGCACTTTAGGAGGCCGAGGCAGGCGGATCACGAGGTCAGGAGATTGAGACCATCCTGGCTAACACGGTGAAACCCCGTCTCTACTAAAAATACAAAAAATGAGCCGGGCGTTGTGGCGGGCACCCGTAGTCCAGCTACTCGGGAGGCTGAGGCAGGAGAATGGCGTGAACCCGGGAGGCGGAGCTTGCAGTGAGCCGAGATCGCGCCACTGCACTCCAGCCCAGGCGACAGAGCGAGACTCTGTCTCAAAAAAAAAAAAAAAAAAAAAATTGTTCAAATGATGATTCAATGCCTACTCTATGCAGGCACTATGATACCAGAACAGCCTGCTTCAAATAGTCTGTACGGTGGTGGAAGAGAAAGATAGGAAAGAAATGTAATGCCAGACAGTATGCAGTATGTGCATAATAGGGCATAAGTTATATATTGTGGGGATGTAGTAATTCATTCTGATTGGGGTTCTTGAGAAACTTTGGTGGAAGAGATGGCATATGATCTGTGCCTTATAGGATGAGGAGATTTATTTATAAAGTTTGGAAAGAAGAACATGAGCTTCCTTCTGATACAGTCCAAGCTGCATAAACTGAGAATAAATATTAAACAATATTTTCAAATTGAAAGCATCCTTTTCCTTTTATTTATTTTTTGTTTGTTTGTTTTTTTGAGACAGGGTCTCATTCCGTTGCCCAGGCTGGAATGTAGTAGTGTGATCATGGCTCACTGCCCCTTCTACCTTCTGGGCTCAAGTAATCCTCCCACTTCAGCCTCCCAAGTAGCTGGGACTATAGGCACGTGCCACCATGCCCTGCGAATTTTTTTTTCTTTTCTGTAGAGATGAGGTCTCGCTGTGTTGCCCAGGCTGGGAAAGTATCCTATTATTTATACTTTCGAAACTTTTGAGACTATCATAGCTGAACTCACCAGAAAAAAAAATTACCCTGCAATAAAGAAATGTGTTAAAATTTAAGCATAATTATTTTACCAATAAATTGAAATAATTATAGTTTTCAATAATACTTTACAATTCTATTAAGCTAGTTTTGTACTCAACAAGATTTAGTCTTATTATCAGTGGAACACAGTTTTATTTGTTCACCCCATGTATTTATTCAACACAACCTTTTGATAGAAGGCTTCATTTGTTTATAAGGAAAGAAAACTAATGTGCGCTTTGTTTTCCAAAGGTAGGAAATATATAGTACACAAGTTGATGAAAACATTTCTTATATAAACATTCATAAAAGGGACTGCAAGCTCCTTTGGAGAGGTACTTGGATACATATGGGTCTTTAGAAGATGGAACTCAGTCCTATCTTTCCTACTGACCTACTGTGCTCCCAACACCAGTCACTTAGAAAAGAGAAAAGGTACATGTGCATTTCACCCAATCTCCCTATTTAGGTTTTTCAGTACAAAAGTTGGAGAGTGGCTATAGCTTTATGTTTTAGCAAAACAACTAATTTTTTACATTTTTTATTTTAAAAAAAGTTTTCTGTGCATAATATCTTTTGTACTGGTACCTCCCCTGCTGTTTAGCAGTTGCATCCAGCTTCTGTTAGTGTTAAACTAAAAAGTCATAATGCCAAATTTAGGGCATGTTGTGCTTGTCAGGCAACATATACTAGTAGAAAGCTTGATTTCTCAGCATGGTCTATATGACTTTATCCACTTACATTTATGTAGCATCATAGAGTTTTGTCAGAGGTTTCATTATTTCCATTTGGCTGATTCACTCCACTGCCTTTTTGGCTTAAAAACTGAAAAGGTAGAAAGGCTGTGTTGTTGCCAAGCTAATTTACTTGAATAGTATTAAGCCAACCTTCCGCTTTTTTACAGCTTCCTTTCCCCTTACTTACTTCATCTTTCTCTCTAGAATTAAGTATTAATTTATAATGAAAAGATAGTTTCTTTTTAATGATCATTGAGTAGGCAGAGAGTAAATATGATTTTGAACACTTTCCTTTTCATCCTAAGGACTTACACTACAAAATATTCTATCAAAGTCACAGAATCTGTTGTTTGTTTAGTAAAACATACATTCAGAAATTAGTAGGTAGAACATGACCATAGAATACAGTCAAACTCATAAAACAACTAATTTTCCATACTTTTATTTTATTAAAGTTTTAGTTGCATAGCATTTTTGTGCCAATGGCATGATACAATGGAGCTATTCTGTAAGTTAGTTCTAAACGCTGGTTGATAAATAAAAGTAAGGACAGTGGAATTCTAAAAGAAACAGTTGCCCATGAAAATGGTCTTGAGAATATATCATTATGACTTAAATCATGAAGTATATGTTTCATTTGTTTTTCATAATTGGGATCCTTTTCAGGAGAAGAGCAATGACAATTATGAGGCCCAAGCAGAGAAGAATCACGGCCAATCAGAGGGGAATCAGCATCAATCAGAAGGAAATCCGGACAAATCAGAAGAATCTCAGGGCCAACCAGAAGAAAATCATCATTCTGAGCGATCCCGAAACCACTTAGAGAGATCTTATTATCATTTAGAGAGATCTCAAGGGCAACTAAAGGTACATCATGCCCAATCTGAGAGATCTCACAGCCAATCCAAGAGATCTCATGGTCAGTCTGAGAGATCTCATGGCCAGTCAAAGAGATCACATGGTCACTCAGAGAGATCTCATGGTCACTCCAAGAGATCTCGTATCCAGGGAGATCTTGTGGTCACTCAGAATGATCTCCTGGTCACTCAGAGAGATCTCATAGCCACTCAGAGAGATCTCATAGCCACTCAGAAAGATCTCATAGCTACTCAGAGAGATCTCATAGTCACTCAGAGAGCTCTCATGGCCACTGAGAGAGATCTCATGGTCTGTCAGGGAGATCTCATGGCCAATCAGAGAGACATCAGAGATACTCAACAGGTAAAAATACAGTGAATTCTTAATCATCAGAACAATGTGTTGAATTCTGTGGAACTAGAAAAGCATATATCTATATTCTAATGGCTAATGTATATTTGTTGAAACAGACATATATTGGGACAAAGACATAAATATTAGAATGGAGGCAATGTATACATGGTATCAATATTCTTTCAACTTGATGTCCTCTAAGCTATCATCCAGTTACCCAAGATGTCCCATTAAGTTGTTCCCTGTAGATCTGCTTTCCCTGGAAGAGCCCTATGTACTCAGCCTTTGCTATTGGGCCTTTCTCACAATTAGAATATTTTGATTTAGTGTCCTGTCTCCCTTGGACATTCCAACCTGGTAAGCAAGCTAATCTAACAACTAATTGCCAAATTGATAATATATAATCTATGATAATGAATATCTCTGCTTCCCACTCTGTCTCCTTCCTAAACCATCCTCAGAGAGTCCTTAGCAGACAAATGGTAGATGTATCTTTGGGCAGCTGAACTTTTCTGCTTTCCTCAAATCAGACCATAGGAGAGGATATATTCTATGCATAGATGTAATGCTAACCTTCTGAATATATTTTGAATACATTTATATATTCACTGTTGCCTTATAAAACTGTTAGGGTAGGTCTGTCTACCCTAGCAAAAGAAACAGAGAAATTTAAATGTACTGGGAGTTATGTTTTTAAAAACACAAGGTATGTTTATTGCAATTGCAATTTGTTTGGTTATTCAATAAAAGTTTTAGTTTTAGTTTCTCAGTGATTTCCTTGCTTGTATTGACTGTAAATGTCTAGTCAAATATTTTAGGTTCATATTAACTGCTGCACAGAATTACTTACTTCAGTTAAAAAAAATTATTTCCGGCTGAGCACGGTGGCTCATGCCTATAATCCCAGCACTTCGGGAGGCCAAGGTGGGCGGATCACTTGAGGTCAGGAGTTTGAGACCAGCCTAGCCAACATGGTCAAACTCCATCTCTACTAAAAATACAAAAATTAGCCAGGCGTGGTGGTGAGTACCTGTAATCCAGCTACTCAGGAGGCTGAGGCAGGAGAATTGCTTGAACCCAGGAGGCAGAGGTTGCAGTGAGCTGAGATCTTGCCACTGCACTCTAGCCTGGGTGACAGAGCAAGAATCTGTCTCAGAGAAAAAAAAAACTATTTCCAAGATGTGTGTATGAGTTATTGTGTATGTAGACGATGTCTGATGCAGGGATAATTTTAATGCAAAAGGTCCCACCCTACTTACATTAGCAGTATACACATAATTTGCTATAAAAATGAAAATGTTTAACACTGATGACAAGCAATCCATATTTCTGCATTTATGAGAGATTTGTACACATTTTACTTAATTTTACATACCAATTTTTGTTTGTCAAGTGGTATAATACTTCCATTAAGGGCGCGGAGGCTCACGCCTGTAATCCCAGCACTTTGGGAAGCTGAGGTAGGTGGATCACGAGGTCAGGAGATTGAGACCATCCTAGCTAACACGGTGAAATCCTGTCTCTACTAAAAATACCAAAAATTAGCCGGGCATGGTGGCAGGCATCTGCAGTCCCAGCTACTTGGGAAGCTGAGGCAGGAGAATGGCGTGAACCCGGGAGGCAGAGCTTGCAGTGAGCTGACATCGCGCCACTGCACTCCAGCCTGGGCGACAGAGCGAGACTCTGTCTCAAAAAAAAAAAAAGAAACTTCTATTAAGGCACTGAAAATTCTATTTAAATTATTGTCCATTGGCATATTCCTATCGTTTTGCAAATACATTTTAAAATATAATAAACAAGTCCACTCAGTTTTTTTCCTTTATGTTCCATTATAATTTTTTCATATGCTGAGCACAAATAAGTACCACCTGAATGGTTAAGGTTAAATTAATCACATGTAGAGCTATTACTAAAGAATACATAAATTACAGAAAATTAACATGTATTAATTGATCTTTTGGAGATTAATTATTCTACTCCATAACTTTCTATTCTAATATGTATTAGAATAACAATAAGTTGACCAGATGGGCTTAATAGCACCCTTCAGAACTAAAATTTGCTTCTATGTCAAGTATAAAATAAAGATTTCAGTAATTTCATGATCCCACTCAAAATCTTCCCCTCAGGCCAGGTTCACCAGAAGGTAAAGACATGCCAGAGAAGCTACATTTCTGCTTTAAACAAACAAGTTAAATCTAGAAGGCCATTGTGGCCTTAATAAATAGCTGGGCAAACACCTCAAATAAAATATGATAGCATATACAGAATATTATTTATGAAGTTTGGAATAACATTTTCATTTTTGAAAAACTAACATGCCTCCCAATAAAAACTCTAAACAGGATGTATGCAAACAAGGTGGAAATTTGAATTTTTAACTCCCTTAAAATACCTGATAATTTCAGCTTTTTGTCTTCTTTCCTGATATGGTAATAATATTCATAGTCAAATGCCTTCCTTGGCTGGATTGATAGGTAAATAGAGAGGGATAGCAGAACAAAAACTGTCTTTTGTACTCCCACTAGGTGTGGCAAAATGAAATGTGTGGCAAAATATGCATATCTTTACATTAGTTGGGCCGTCCACCAGATTAAAGCTTTTCTAAACATAGATAATAGCTTCAGAGGAAATTACATATTTAATTTAGTAGTGCTTGCTATTTGAACTCCAATTATAGAGTGACAACTAATACCTCATTATTATTTAGCGTCTCTGAATTTTAATACTAGACAGCATTCCAAGTAATTCTTAAAATAAATTCAGGCTTGATTATAATTGACAATCTGATCTTTGGGTCTCAAATCCCTAATATATTGTATATCATTCTGAAGACAGTAGTTTTTTCTGATATTTGACTTTATTATTTGATTTTCCTATTTTTATTCCCAAGTTCTTCACTTTTCCCTAGCCCCATTTGTTACCCAGTTGTTCGTATTTTTCTTATTTCTTGAAAGAAGATGCCAGTGAGAATCTGGTTTGCATTTTTCTAAGGAATTGGCCTCTAATGTGGCATGAGTAGCATGAGTAAGTGGAAGTGACATAAGAATAAGAAGATATGTCTCCATGTCCCAAATCTGTCAAAGTATATAACATTAGACAAATTAGTTAATAACTATGCATCTCAATTTCCTAATATATGAAAGGAGGAGTTTGGACTACATGTCTTTAAAGACCTATACCAACTAAAAACGTCGTATGAGTCATGAAAAATGAATGATTTATTCATTTTTTCATTCGAAAAACTGTGGTTAAAAAGATACAAAATTCACCATCTTATCCATTTTTAAATGTACAGTTCAGTAGTAAATACATTCACATTATTATGCAATACGTCTCTAGAACTTTTTCATCTTGTAGATCTTAATTCTATACCCATTAAACAATAACTCCCCTTTTCCCACTTCCCTCAGAATTCCCTACCATTTATCTTTTTCCTACAATTTTGGCTACTTCATATACCTCATATAAGTGGAGTCATACAAGATTTGTCTTTTTGTGACTGTTTTATTTCACTTAGCATCATCAACATTCATCTATACTGTAGCATGTGACAAGAATTCCTTCATCCATTAGGCTAGAATGTATATACCACATTTTCTTTATCTACTCATCTATTCATGAACATTTGGCTTGCTTCCACAACTTGACTGTTAATAAACAGTACTGCTACGAACATGGATGTGTGAATCTCGTTGAGACTACCCTTTCATTTCTTTTGGTAATATACCCAGAAGTGGGAATACTGGATCTTTCTTTCTGAAGAACCCCCATACTGTTTTTATACCAGTGGAACCATTTTACAGTCTCAACAGCACACAACTGTTCCAATTTCTCCACATGCTCAACAATACTTGTTATTTTCCATTTTTCTGGTAATAGACAACCTAATGGGTATGAAATTATATCTAATTGTGGCTTTAATTTTCATTTATCTAATGATTAGTGATGTTGAGCATCTTTTCACATGCCTGCTTTGCATTTATATATCATCTTTGCAGAAATGGCTGTTCAAGTCCTTTCCCTGCTTTTTAATTGGGTTATTTGAGTTTTTGATGTTGTAGGAGTTTCTTATATATTCTGGATATTAACCATTTATTGATATATGATTTGCAAATATTTTCTCCCGTTCCATAGGTTGTCATTTCACCTTGTTGATCGTGTCTTTTGATGCACAAAAGTTCTTAACTTTAATATAATCTCATTTGCATATTTTTTTGTTTTTCTTGTTTGTACTTTTGATGTCCTTTCCAAGAAATTATTGCTAATTCCAGCATCATGAAGCTTCCCCCTATGTTTTCTTTAGGAGTTTTATTGTTTTAGATCTTTAATCCATTTTCAGTTAATTTTTGTATATGGTATATGATAAGGGTCGAACTCCCTTCTTTTGCATGTGGATATCCAGTTTTCCTAATACCCTTTTTTGAAAAGATTGTCTTTTCCCCAGTGAGTGGTCTTGGCACTCTGGTAGAAGATCATTTAATCATATAACCAAGGGTTTATTTCTGGGCTTTTTATTCTATTCTAGTCGTTTGTCTTTATGCCAGTATGATGCCAGTTTTTGGTAGGAAAAACAAAATTCCCAGTTCTCTTGACATGACAGTGGGAGCTAGCAATCTACTTAGGTAGGTACACAGAGAGAAGCTAGGATATGCCAAGAAATGGAGGTATCCTAGATTGCCCCTACACAATTGGCGCCAAGTCCTCACTTTTTATTTTTCTTTCTATCATGTCTTCTGCAGTGTTACCTCTTATTCCACCAGCATCTATCCCCAGGCAGTTGGTCGATGCTGGAGCTAATTCCCATCAGCTATTTCCCATGCAAATTTTCTAAGCACACAGCAGGCATCTCTCTTCTGGTGCCCCAGACATTACAGAATATTAAACTTCACATTGGAAGGTGCAGAAAAGGAAGGTGACCACATCCTCGACAAGGCATGCACCTGACAAATAGTTCATATTTTCTTTTTCTATATATATAGAGAGAGAGCTGTATGTAAACAGCATTGGGGTGTCTGTTTCTGCAACTGGA